AATTGATCGCACACAGATAGAAACATATAAATACAGAGATAAATTTGAATTCACATTTTGTAAGGCAAATTATTTGCTACTCTCTCCATCATGCAAGCTTTTAATTAAAGTACCTTTTGTTGAACACAGACAGAATCTTACTGTAGAATGATATTTCTAATCGTGAGCTTAGTGAAATAATTTAATATATCAGCGCAATTATCTACGCTTACCTGACATAACCAACATATAACGTCAGGTGTCAACATATTTGCTTGTTCCTGCCCGAACAATTATTAAAAGTTTCATAAGAAATGAAATTTGAAATTATTTCAAAAACAGATAATTAAAAATAATCATAAAAATGAGTTACGTTTCATGAATGAAGTCCCGTATGTGGATATTTTAACATTCAAATTAAACCCACATCTCTTCTTAACCAAATGAATGTAGCACGCAAATCGTTTATTTCAATTTTTAAACTTCTCTCAGTGTTTTGGAATCACCACTTAAAATGCGGAAAAGTTAACGTTTATGTACCTCAAGAAATTTATTAAAACTAAGCCAATTCGGGCACATTAAAAATGCATTTAAATTTCAGTGTAGAAAATCAGATTTTGAAATTTGCTTGTACGTACCATCTTCTCCCTCATAGCGTCTGAACACTCCAACTTTAGATGTAATGCATACAGTTCTCTTTAAAGCGCGTTCATTCTAATTAATTGGATAAAGAATGGAGTGATATTATACATTAAATAAACTCATGCAACATGTTTCATCACAAAACTCTTGTCGACATAAAAATATGCTAACTGCAAATGTAGACGAGAATTCTTTGGAATATTTCCAACATAATCAGAGTAAAAGTTTAATTGTTTATATCCCTTTATTATATAAAAAAGGACGCCGTGTAAATGATTTTGTAGATCCCATTATTTCACGTTAGTTAACAAAAAGAGACAGAAACTTGCTTCTTTCTTCATTTATACATCATCGGGTAGTTCCGTATCGACTGATATGAAACTGAACAGAGACAACTTTATTCCAGTTTGTTAAATAGTAAAAGTACAAGTATATCAAAAACTCTTTAACGCGTTTAAATTAAAATCACACGAAAAATCTTTACTTTGTCAACTCATAATAACTTGTCACGTGGTTTTTTATGCATATACCAACAGTCTCTTAGAGCCGATGACTTGGGTTCGATAAATTAACAACATAAAGAAATAAATCTTATTGAAAATCATTTTCAATATTACAGAGGTTGCAGTAAATAACATTCTCGTATTTGAATACATGAACTTAAAAATTTATGTTTTCAACAAGTTACGCCCACCCCGATGACTCTCGAATGAAACTAAGTAAAATTATCATACAAGCAACCTTCAGTTCTACAGCTGACCTAGAATTGCCACACTATCTAACTGCTACACAAGTAGCAACAATTTCATTTCTAAAATGACTACTAAATCGATGTATACATGGCCTCCTTCATAAGTAAAGTCAACTTAAAAACGTCACCTAATATACGTTTATTATGTCAACTGGGTGTTGCTTGACTACCGAAAAGAACATGAAAAGCTTTATTCACATATTAACAGAGATATTTAAAACTATTGACGTAGACGTCCATTTTCTATTCAAAAATCTACTACTATTCTCTAGGCAAGTCCTGAATTTTCTGTGTGGTGTAACAATAAAACAAGAACATTCTGCTGAACATTTTCAAAAAATCGAATAAAACATTAGAATTTGTTCTTTGGAACTCTCAAGAGCCAACATCCATAGGCAGAGTTCGAATTCAAACGTGGACTAACTTTGAAACGCTGGTTAGCAATTTCATTATCTTGGAATCAGTTGTCTGATGTAACGTTACATAAATCAGTCAGTATATTGACACCAGCCCAGATGACGCAACACACAAGTGCTCTGGTCGTGATTCTAGCCTAGCTTGGGCGACTGAGAATAGAAAAGGGGTAGGTGTGGCTACCAATGTAAAGTGGTGAACAGAAAAGTATCCTTGAATTATATCCGTAATTTATTGGTATAAATTGACCATTATGTACATAAATAACCCATATTTCTTTGTGATCTTTTAAAAACTGGTAACTGATTTTTTGCGAATCCCATAGTTGGTCTGAAAGGGTCCGGGAAGTTGATTTCGCCAAAAGTATAACGTACAAGTGTAGGACATTAATATTAACCAAGGTGAAAAATAACTTGACGTAGCACAAAATTCGTATGTATTCAGCACCGAGAAGACTATAAGTTAATGATCGACTCAACATATTAGACAGTACAGTTTAAAAAATCATTCCGAGTGCACACAAGTTCACCTTTACGAAAGAATTTAAAACCTCTTTGTAACTCAAGAGTTTCATAAAATAAGCTTCATCTGAATCTCAACACAATGAGCTACATATTACAGCAAGCTTCTATGTACACTGAAATAGTCTACAAGGATGAAAATGAACTGTATATGAACAATTCAGAAACCAATCAACACGTGTGCAGAAAATATTGATGATTCTGAGCCATTAGGTATTTCAACATTTTACACCTTTTACCAAGCAGCCAGTGGCAAAGCGAGTTAGAAATTTAATTATATAGAATATTGCTAAATAAACGACCTTATCCGCTAAAAAGGAGTGTTTAGCCGCAGTTAACCCAACAACGGGTTAAAAATAACTCCACCTGTAGCTCCTCTAGGGGCTACTGCCGGTCCTAAGACCAGGTAAAGGAGGAGGGTCGGGCATGGGGTTAGCGACCCCATCCCGTAGAAAACCAACTCGCTAAAAAAACGCTAACCAGAAAAAATTATTCAAACCATCTAAACTCTGCCGTGGGAGTTGAAGGAATAATTACGACATCTCGTGATGAAAGACGAGTCTCTTCGGAAGTTATGAGGCCTATGCACCTTCTAACAACCAGAGAAACCATTTATATAGGTACATGGAACGTCCACACAATGTGGGAAACCGAAAGAGTCTTCCAAATTGCTGCAGAAATGAGATAATACAACCTAGAGGTGCTTGGGATCAGTGAAACACATTGGACGCAGGTTGGACAACAACAACTATCTTCAGGGGAGCTTCTGTTATACTCCGGCCATGAAGAAGAAAATACCCCATATACACAAGGAGTTGCATTGATGCTGCCCAAACAACCACAAAAAGCACTTGTGGGATGGGAATCTCATCGACTAAGGATCATCTAAGTTTCCTTCAAAACAAAGGTAGAAGGCAATACAATGAACGTCATCTAATGATATGCACCTACCAACGACTACAAAGAAGACGTTAAAGACCAATTCTACGATAGGCTGCAGTCGATCGTCGAGAAGTGCCCAACAAAGGACCTGACCATTCTGATCGGAGATTTAAATGCCAAGGTTGGAATGGACAACACCGGATATGAAGACATCATGAAGCGACATAGTTTGAGGGAAAGGAATGAAAATGGTGAGAGATTTGCAAACCTATGTGCCTTCAATAAACTGGTCGTAGGCGGCACTATATTCCCACATAAACGCATACACAAAGCCACATGAATTTCACCTTATCACACTACGCCGACCCAAATCGATCATATCTGCATCAATAAACAGTTCAAAAGGACGATGGAGGATGAGAGAACCAGAAGAGGAGCTGATATAGCATCAGATCTCCACTTGCTGGTCGCCAAGACGAAATTAAAACTCAAGAAGCACTGGACAACGGGGCGGACAACACCACAAACGTTTAATACGGCCTTTCTTAGAGATAATGACAGGCTCAATGAATTCAAGACAGTCCTCAGCAATAGGTCCCAGACCTTTCATGATCTACTCAATGGAGAGAGAACCACTATGGAGAGCAACTGAAAAGGAATAACAGAAGCAATCACTTCAACAAGTCAAGAGGTTCTGGGCCAAAACAAGCACCACCACAAGGAATGGATCACTGCGTGAGATTGAAGAAAGGAGGAACAAGAAGGTAGCAATCAATACCAGCCGAACAAGAGCAGAAAAAGCCAAGGCTCAAGCCCAATACACAGAAGCAAACAAGCAAGTGAAGAGGAGCATTAGAACCGACAAACGCAAATATGTGGAAGATCGAGAGATGACGACGGGAAAGGTTGAAAGAGAAGGAAACATGAGACAACTGTATAATACAACAAAGAATCTCGCTGGAAATTACCGTAAACCAGAACGACCAGTGTAAAGCAAGGAAGACAAAGTAATCACCAACATTGAACAGCGAAACAGGTGGGTAGAATACTTCAAAGAACTTTTGAATCGGCCAGCTCCACTGAACCCACCCAACATCGAAGCAGCACCCACAGACCTCCCAATAGATGTTGGCCCACCAACAATTGAAAAGATAAGCATGGCCATCAGACAAATCAAGAGCAGCAAAGCAGCGCGACCAGACAACATTCCAGCAGAGGCACTGAAAGCAGACATAGCGGTAACTGTAAAGATACTTCACATTCTCTTCAGCAAGATTTGGGATGCAGAACAAGTACCAACAGATTGGAAAGAAGAACACCTGATCAAGATACCAAAGACGATCTCAGCAAGTGTGATAACTACAGCGACATCACTCTTCACTCGATACCAGGAAAAGTTTTCAACAGGGTATTGTTAAACAGAATTAAAACTTCGTAGACGACAAACTTCAAGATCAACAGGATGGATTCAGTAAGCATCGATCGTGTACAGACCAAATCGCCACTCTACGGATCATTGTGGAACAATCAATTGGATGGAATTTATCACTCTACATCAACTTAATTGACTAAGAGAAAGCATTTGATAGCGTGGAGAGGAAAACACTAGGGAGGCTTCTTTGACATTACGGTGTGCCTGAGAAGATAGTCAATATCATAAGGAAATCCTATGATGGATTAAACTGTATAGTCGTGCATGGAGGACAGTTGACAGACTCGTTCGAGGTAAAGATCGGTGTCAGGCAAGGTAGCTTACTCTCACCCTTTCTCTTTCTCCTGGTGATTGACTGGATTATGAAGACGTCAACATCTGGAAGGAAGCACGAAATACAGTGTACAGATAGGATGCAGCTGGACGGTTTTGACTTTGCAGATGATCTGGTTCTTATGTCACACACGCAACAACAAATGCAGAAGAAGACGACCGGTACAGCTGCAGCCTCAGAAGCAGGGAAAATCAAGATTCTCTAATACAATACAGCATGCACCAATCGAATCACACTTGACGGAGAAGCTTTGGAGGATGTGAAAACTCTTACATATCCGAGCAGCATCGTTGATGAACAAGGTGGGTCTGATGCAGATTTGAAGGCGCGAATCAGCAAAGCAAAAGCAGCATATCTACAACTGAAGAACATCTGGAACTCAAAACAATTGTCAACCAACACCAAGATCAGAATTTTCAATGCAAATGTCAAGACAGTTCTACTCTACCTTGAGAACTACGAAAGCCATCATCCAGAAGATACAGGTGTTTATTAACAGTTGTCTACGCAAAATACTTCGGATCCGTTGGTCAGACATTATCAGCAACAACCTACTGTGAGAGAGAACAAACCAGATTTCAGTGGAAGAAGAAATCAGGAAGAAGCACTGGAAGTGAATAGGACACACATTAAGGGAAGCACCCAACTGCGTCACAAGGCAAGCCCTCACATGGAATACTGAAGGCCAAATGAAAAGAGGAGGATAAAAGAATACATTACGCCGAGAAAAGGAAGACAGATATGAGATGATTGAACAAAAATTGGATAGAACTAGAAAATAAGGCTCAGGACAGAGTGGTCTGCGGCCTATGCTCCACTGGACGTAGCAGGTGTAAGTAAGTAAGTTCGGGTTAAAATAGGAAGAAACAGGCAAAAACCTTAAAATGAAGAGATAAATACGATTAATGAACTCTATAGAGCTCATTTTTACATAATATTTGTAAACGTTTATTCGTAAAATGTAAAAACTATGCAATATCCCACTAAGTAAACTTGCGGTACAAGTTGGTTTGTTTAATAAAATGATAGAACAACTGATATTCTTCAAAAATAAATGACAAACAATCATGTGGTCACCTTAGGGATAAATGCATGATTATGTATATATATATATATATATATATATATATATATATATAATGTATTATTATGTTTCTCAGGTTTATGACAACAGCCAACTCCATTGAGTAGGAGGTTGTTAGACAGGTGTATTTGTTTCCTGAAACTATAATTTTACAATTTCTTAACTATGCTATGCGTGTGTTGTTCATTCTTATCAGAAAACCTGAGCTTTCGTGCAATAACGTAGCCACAGCAAAGACATTTGAATCCTGGACGGCGTAAGTGATCGGAGTATATATTTCGGAAATCAGTCCTAAACAACATGAGACTTGTAACAAGGGTATATTGATCTGCGTTGCTACACTCAGCACCCGCAAGTAAGGAATGATAATTAATAAAGAGCGAAACAAAGAAAGAAAAATAATGATAGCTGATAGCAAAAAAACATAAGAATTAACTCCGAAAGAAACAAATTTCATAAAAGATGGGAAGTAAGGGGATAAATCAAGGCAAAAAATTGATTGGGACAAAGAATGTATGCAGATGAGCTACTGTATATTTTTTTCAGATGGCCACACAAATACTCTAACCCTTGTGTCGACAGGTCCGCAGCTATGGGCAACGTTCAGTACATAAACTAACTTTTAGTACAATTCCTTTGCTTAGTTCATCCGGTCTTTCGTGAAACTACCCTATCGTACGTTGAAGTAAAAGTAGCTGGTTATGAGCAATATAAAATAAGCGCCTTTCAGACACATTAGAGGTCCTTTTACCCTCGAATCTTTATTTTACACTCCAATTCTAGTTGTCTCTTTTCAAGGCCCAGAAACAGTTAACTCTTAATTTGTGGCATTTTACGGCTGTTATATTATTCCTATTTATCCATTTATATTTACATTGATTCAGTTACCCTCCACAATTTGACTTGGTATATTCCCAAAAATGTCAATCTAAATAACTAGAAAATCAGTTATGGCCTAGTGTTCTAAGTAGTCGAATGTGCACTGACGAAACATAGGATCGAAATCCACAAAAGCTAGTTCGACCGTAATATTCATATGGTATAATTAACCCCCATACATAAGGTTGGACCCGAAAGAGATTGAAAATCTTTATCTTAATTTAATTAGTTTCAGTTGTTTTAACTAACTGGTAAATCATACGCGTTGTTCCTTTATAAGTTATTTTGTAACAAGAGATTGTATGGGTAATAAAGACTCGAAAACGATTTCATTTACATTCATGAAACCTTATCTTAATTTTCATCTGACTAATTGAAAACTTTTCAATGAAAAAAAGTTGCAACATGTGCAAACTTTCTTACCTTATGGAGCTCGTAAACTTGGAAAATAAGCGATATAACGGAAAACACAGCGATACATGTCGCATATATTTCATACTCGACGCAATACCATATTACGCAGCTGAACACTTGAAAGCAATGAAAAGGAGTAAGACACTGAAACAAAAAAAAACGATCATGACAAGTTTACTGAAATAAATTATCGAAAACTAATAGCGCAGTTCATCACAGTTTACACTATCATAAAGCTCTACACACTAGTCAGTTTTCGTCTGATATACTATATTTGTCGTATATACAAAAGTTTGGTACGTGGATCAGTGTATGCAAGTTAACAGTATGTTTTACGCATAAATCCTCTTGATTTGCTATCAAAGTTTCTCGTGTGTATAAATAAGGTTTGTTTGAAAATGTTTAGTTGCTAGTGTATATGTAGTAGTGATTTCCATTAAAAAAGCACTGTGATAATTAGCTGCATGAAACAGCCCCATAAATAAAACTTTGTCCGATTTTATTTTGAATTTTTCCGTCTGAATACTGGATGTCTGTGTATTTATATGTATGGATAAGTTATAATTTACATCACGGTGGCTTATATTATACTTTAATAGCTACAAATTTATTTTGTAGATCTGAAATAAACAGGAGATAATCTTTTGTAAGCATAATATTTTTGAATCATTTTTGAACAGTGAAACTAGATCCATGGAGATTTATAGCTTGCACTTTACCTCTTATAGAAACACTAACAAAAATCACAACAATATTTTGCTACATTCAACAACGTACTCCATTTAAAACAAGCTTGATAATGGGTGTAAGATTGACGTCTATCATATTAATTCCATACAAGCTTCGACGGGTTTCAATTAGATCCGTAGTTAAGGCTGATGCATTTAATACTTCATTGTAAGGGCGCTTATCCCAGTATCTGAAGAAAAATAGACAACAAAGTTAAGCATCTTTTTGGGAAAATCTATTTAGCTGATTAAAGCAAAACGAGGTATCTTCTCATGACACAACAAATTCTGTTTTATTTATGTTTCTGAAAAAATGTAAACCTACAGGTTTCGGTTGTTTGATCAGAGCTAAATCCCGAGATTTCAATGAACGAAGGATGTCTGGAAATAAAATTAATCTTCAAGTGTTGATATGTACGCTGTTTAACACAAGTTTTATCAAATAAAATTGAAAGACCATGAAACGTTTGAAAAAGTGACGGCTACAGTACTATCGGTAAATGAATATACCAAGCTACATTCACGTCGTATACAAAAGTTGGAAATTATCATACACGGCCATTTGTTAGCGAAGTGTGAAATCGCCATGATAACAAACAACTGAACTTGAGGTAAAAGTGTTAACATACAATATGCTTCGTTGAAAGCATCAAGGGTAAAGAGAAGATATTAAAATGCTGTCAGCTTCTCCAGGGAGACGTACATAATATAATAAACAATGATAACGCGGATGCTCATAAATATTTCTTTTATTAAAAAATGATTGTAAGTGCAAAATACACAGTCGCCTTGAACACTCGTATGCGGAGCTGAGTATTTGATTTCATCTCAGAAGATATAAGTGATACTTTTGATGTTTTTGATAAAAACGTTGACTCGTAATAACAGTTACGAAAAGGTACTTAGTTTCTTTTATAAATATGAATATTGAGTATTAAGGTGTTTATAAATGCACTCAACTCACTGTAATAGCTCGAAATTTTCGGACTCAAAGTTCCAGATATACTTTAACTTTTTGTGTATGATATACGGGTATTCTGTCTGGTTACCGAGAAAAGCATCCGTTGTTGAACTATCACACAGAGGCCTTTGTTAAAAAAAATAAGTTGATTTTACTTATCTCAAAGCACACAATTCGCAACACTGATATCAATAAAAGTAAACTTAACCTTGAATTCCTCTTCGTAGGGTAATGAACTTTATGGATATAGATACCAGAAATATCCTTTAGATTTACAGTGTAATTGAAAATAGTTGTACTCAAACCTTTATTTTGACTTTTTTCGCCTCCTTGAGACTGCAGGTTTTGTGTGTACACCAAAGCATCCAGTGAGGAAACCAGTGGAACAGTAATCGTAGTAGTCCACCAGTTAGAACACAGCCAACAATCACACAGATATACCGTACATGTGATAATTTGTAGCCTTCTATGACCTTAAAAAAGCAACTAAGCCTAATATTTAAGGTTTACTGGTCTTGATCCTTCGCACAGAATTTCACTTGCATGTGGTTTATTAGTACTTTTACAAGGTGAAAACACCATACCCACTTAGCGCAATAACAAAAAGTGCGTTTAAATCCCTGTCTTTTGCAAATGAAACAAAACATTCAATGTCTAATATCGAGTTGACAGGTCGATGATGGCTTACTGCCTTCTCCTAGAGAATAAAAACATGTTGAATACTCATTTAGGTAGCACAATGTGATAAGTCAAACTTCTCCAGGCAAAACAATATTCGTCCAAGATATCTGTTAAAGATTTCTGAGTGTTTAATTCTGATAAAAATACCATAAAATTGTTTAAGTTAGGATAGGTATAACATTTAATCTCGAAATAACTGATCTCTTAATCAGTGTACATAACTGAGCGATTTCAGTCTGCTGACCTTACGCACGCTATTTAAAAGGGCAGTGGTATTGTTTCTCGTTGAGTTAAATTCACTGTTTTGATCGTAAATTACGAATCAAAACTACTGTTTACACTTTAATTGAATTTATTTCAGTTAACGTGACATTTTATTTGTGTGTTTTGATCCTGCTTTTGTGCATTTACTGCGTCAAAGCATTCTTGGTCGACTGCGGTTTGATTATTTGATTAAGGTTGTGATTTGTCTTACATATCTACCTTGCCTATCATTTTGCTTCATTCTAAGATGGTCGGCTCTGCACACAAGTGTGGACAGCCATATGGCTTACTCCCCGTGGAAGAAGGGATGCGATGTGACGAATGTAAGAAGTGGTTTCACAAAATGTGCATCCGCTAAAGCCCTGCTGCCTATAAGAGGTGTTTGGAACCCGATTCTCATTGGCTCTGTATGTTTTGTTGCTCAAGCAAGACATCACTTATTCAGGAAGCCATTAGCCATCTAGCGTTAGCTAAAGAGTTCCATGTAGGCCGTGCCGGCAACATGGATGCTGATAACGAAGATTGTACCAGTGCCGTAAATGCTGCCATGGCAGGTACCAGACACCCAATTTTGCAACACGAAACCAAAATTTCTACTCCGATACAACCAATGAAAGACATGCCATTAAGTACTGAGGGACCAGTTGCTTTAGCAGCGACTGATGACCCGGCTAGAACCACTATCGTCCAAAGTAGTTCCAATCTGGATGCTGAAACTAGTGGGAAATGGATTACGCGGAAACGTAAAAGAGAAGGAAAAATACCCAAAGAAAGCGCGCGTACGGTCAATAAGTCCTTGTTGAACTTACGTCCTGCGCATCAGGCAACTCCGCTCAAGTCCAAATGTAAGAAAATATTTAGTACTGTTGTGGATGGGAACAGTTTGACTTCACCAAATGTTGTTGTGAGTCACTCGCTCGACCCACACGACACTGTTATAAAGAAAGCTAACAGTAAGAAGCCGGTAGCTTACAAAAGGCATTTTCACACTCCTTTGTCCAGTTCCAGCTGATATCCTTATTCAGGAGATAATTCAGTGGGGCGCGTATGTCATGCATCGATGGAACGAAGGCTGAGTAATAACTAACCAATCCCAGGAATGATCGTAGAGTAGAGATATTGGTAGGTGTGGGCATAGTTCTTATAGCTCGAATGTTCTCGGGATCTGGTCTGCGACCTGCAGCATCAAAGATGAACCCCAAATACTTCACGGATTTCAAGAAAAGCTGGCACTTTTCCGGGCGTAACCGGAACCCGTTGTCGCTGACGCGTTGGAGCACGGCTGTTGTGCGTTCTCGTAGCTGTTCCGACGTTGTGGCAACAATGAGGATGTCATCCAGATAAGTTGCGACCCCCGGGATACCTGATAGAATGGTATCCATTAGCTGCTGGAAAATAGATGGGGCGGTCTTGACTCCAAACGGCAGTCGATTATATTGGAACAGTCCACGATGAGTATTAATAGTGAGTAGCTCTCTTGATTCTTCAGCCACTTCTACTTGTAGGTAGGCATCAGCAAGATCCAACTTCGCAAAGTACTTTCCGCCATTCAGCATAGTGAACAAATCTGCCGGGACTGGCAGCGGATAATGATGCTGTTCTAGGGCTGCGTTGAGACCTGTGGAAAAATCTGCATATATTCGGATTGTACCATTAGCCTTCTTGATAACAACAATGGGTGCTGCCCATGCGGAATAAGAGACAGGAGTAATAACTCCTTCACGTTGAAGGCGGTTAAGTTCTTCCTCAACTTTCTGTAATGCAGCATATGGTACTGGTCTCTTCGGACGAAAAACAGGTTTGACCCCAGGTTTTAATCGAAGCGTTGCTTTCATGGCTGAGCACCGACCCAAAACAGGCTGGAAGACGGTCGAAAACTTCGTAACTAGTTCATTTGAATAGGCTTCCGGGTCATGGGGATGCTTTACTAGTTGATACACAGTGTTTAACGGGACGTCTGCTAAATGCAGTTGGTCAAACCAATCTAATCCAAGTAAAGCCGGCAGGATCTGACCACGGTCAAAGGCCATTAACACGACTTTTAAGGAAGTTAAACAGGTCCCTAGTGTAATCATCTGGAACTTCGAAGAATCGAAAGACACCGATCCCGCTAAGAGACGTGCCCACGACCTGCAGTTAGTGGAATCTCTCATCAGAAATATACTGCCCGATGAGGTCCCAGGTGTACATATCTCGAAAGTCATCAGACTCGGTAAATATGTTGGAGGCGAAACCCAACAGAGAAGGATCCTTAAATTAGTACTCGGTAATTTTGAGGAAAGGGACGTAGTAATGAATAACGCACGCAAAATTCGTGACTCAAACATTCGTATTCGACCTGACTGGCCACTTGAGGATCGGATCAAGTGGGAGAATGCCCTAACAGAGTTAAAAACTCGAAAGCTAAACGGTGAAGCGAACCTTACGATTAAGGGTTTTCGAATAGTCAGGTCTTGGAAGCCAATGCTTCCGAGACCTGTGTGGGTAGAACGTATGTCTCCAAAAACACCTTAAATGTATGTTACATGAATGCTCGTAGTCTTCGGAATAAGGTGTCCGAGCTAAGTTTGATGGTAGACGAATTAAATCCGGATATAACTGTTATCACCGAAACCTGACTCACTGTAGATATAGACTGTTCTCCAGTCATTTCAGGCTATATCTGTATCAGAAGTGATAGAGTTAGAAGTCGCAAGATATTATATGTTTTGGACCACTTCTGCTTAAACTCCATCATATCGGAGGCGCATGTAAGTGGTACGTGTGAGGTAGTATGTGTTAGGATATTCACAGGAATATCCCAAAATTATCTCAAAAGTAAAGTAGTATGTTTTCAGACTCTTCACATATTTCGCATGTTATTTTCTGTTGGTCATTGTTTACAGTCGTCCTAACTATGACTTTCACGTGTCGTTTTCCTATTGGTCAATTTTGAGTTGTCCTAATTATAACCTTTACGTGTCCTTTCATAGTCATTTTAACTGTATAAATATGCCTTGTCTGTAAACCAATTTTGCTCTGCTGCTGACCCCATAAACAATTCTCATTTAACGGCTGTGTTCTGATTTACTGGAGTTGGAGAACAGTATTGGGGTCGAACTAGGATATTTGGTCAACCGGTAGAATTTCGTGTAATCCTATCGCAATACGTAATATTTGGGCAATTTATAGCAGTATGTTGTACAATTAGGTCTAGAAACGGGTTTTTGACGATAGGAGGAATATATCGTAGTCCGTGTTGTCTCGCTGACGACTTTATCCTAAGACACGTCTGTTCTTGGAGTAAGGCAGAACGTTGTCTCATCGTTGGAGACTTCAATGCACCCCATATAAACTGGATAGAGCTCACAGCTCAAGGTGGGGGTTTCGATAGCGTCCTTCTGTCATCAATTATTCAATGTGCACTTGTACAATGTATCGTTAAGCCGACGCATATTGACTTGGAACATAATCCGTCATTGATTGACCTTGTCCTCACACACCACTGTGAAGATATCGTCGACATTCAACACCTTCCTCCACTGGTGAATAGTGACCATTTCGTACTTTCCTTTAAGTTCCGGATACATGGTATAGAATTTGCGTCTGCTCAACCCCGTCCTAATATCTGGAGAGCTAATATTCTGGCAATCAGGGACTATGCTGATTGGTCGATGCTGATGGATCGATTGATGATGCATGGAATAGGTTTAAGTCCACGTTCGAATCCGTAACTCAACCGTTTATCCCATGGTCAGCACGTAAGCTATCATATTGCCCTCCATGGATTAATAAAAAAATCCGGAAGCTGTTGAAGCGTAGGAAACACTTCTGGGACTTATTCTTGTCAACAGGTCAGGCATCATTTAAGTGCGAATATAAAAAAATCCGGAATATGTGTAAAAAGACCATAGCTAAATCCCGCACGGCTTACGAACGACAGTTGGCATACGATAGCCGTACCTGTCCGAAGCGACTGTTTTCGTACGTTAAAAGGCGGACGAAACGTAGTGGTGGTATCCCCTCGTTACTGTTAAGCGAAAATTCAGCTTTATTGGCTGAATCTGATCTAGCGAAAGCGGAGACATTTGCTAACTATTTCAGTGAAGTACATTCTACGTGTAATGTTACAACTACTTGTCCCATTGACAATGAGATACCAGCCATAGGACCTTTGCACGTGACAGAGGATATTGTTCTTCCTTTGATAACTAACCTAAAACCTTGTAAGATACCTGGCCCTATGGGTTACACCCGCGTTTGCTGTCGTCGCTTGCGGACATTATCTTAAGGCCGCTCATGTTGCTCTTCAACATGTCTTTTTCACAGGCTCAACTACCTAGAGACTGGAAAGACGCCATAGTTAGTCCTATATTTAAGGATGGTCAGAGACGGATCGTATCTAACTACCGGCCTGTTAGCCTGACCAGTATAGTAGTTAAGTTACTTGAAAAATTAATTCGAGCTAAGCTACTGAGTCACATAGATTCGTACAATCTGTTAACTCCCGAGCAACATGGGTTTCGTAACAAGCATTCATGCTTGACTAACTTACTCATTGCGAGAGAGGATTGGACAGCTGCCCTAGACAACGGCTCGTCTGTCGGCGTGGTATTCACAGATTTTAGTAAAGCGTTTGATAAGGTTTCACACTTAGGTCTTATGCAAAAGCTCTCGAGCTTTGGAATAACAGGTGCTATACAGGAATAGATAGGAAGCTTCTTATGTGACCGCAGACAGAGAGTGAGGGTCAATGGAACTCTATCCGAATGGAAACTGATCAAAAGTGGTGTACCCCAAGGCACCATCTTAGGCCCTTTACTTTTCCTTCTGTGTATTAATGAACCACCTTTATTACTT